GCCGCGAGCACCGAACGGCACCGGCGCCGCCCGCTTGGCGGTTGGATGGCTCGCCGACTGCATTTGCGAAGGTAATGATATTGGGACGGCATTTGAAGCGCACGCTACGCGCTCGCGATATAGCCTCGCCTGCCTGAGCACCTGCCGCCGCCGACGCCGCCGCCCGCCCATGTTGCGCGCGCGCGTGTCGCGCGCGTCGCGCTATGGGCATGTTCGTGGCGTGTGCGCGCAGATGAAGATGGGCGTGAGTAGTATGCTTGAGTGGTAAAATATGTATACGCATGACGCATATGTGTACGCATTACACATATATGATATATACACATACACATATATGTATAAATAACAACCGCACTGCTATATTGTTCTGAACTCGGATGCGCTGCGAGAGCGTGTCCACAGATATCCATTGGGAGTTGATGCGGCATTGAACGGGGTCGGCAATGAGGGCACAACGACACGAACCGAGTCGGAAATAACACTTTTCGAAGTCAACAAGTTTTTTCCGGAATAACAAACGTTCGAAAACAAATGTTCGCAAAATTTCTGACTGATAAAGACACTCACAAAATTATGGAAACAATTACCCCGGTGCGACCCTACCTAGGAGTTGGAGCCCCTAGGAAAGCAGCATTAGTAGTAACGGTAAACGCCGTCCTCCTTTTTCTCCTCATCGTCGTTGTTATGTTATGCTGTGCTATGCTATGCTATGCTGTGCTATGCTGCGCTATGTTATGATATGCTATGCTATGCTATGCTGCGTTCTGCTATGCTATGCTGGGCTATGCTATGATATGCTAAGCTAAAGCTAAGCTAAGCTAAGCCAAGCCAAGCTAAGCTAAGCTAAGCTGCGCGAAGCTAGGATGAAGTTAAGCTAAGCTATGCTAAGCTAAGCTAAGCTAAGATGAGATACGCAAAGCTAAGGGAAAGGGGCGCAACTGGGGGAACCGCGGGGCGGGGACCGGGGGAACCGCCCGGGGCGGAGCCCACTGCCCGGCCCCTTTAAGCCCAGCGAGTAAGAACCCTCTAAGCAGAGCCTAGGTAGGGAAAAGAATTGCTCGAACAAAAGTTTGCGAACCAGATCTGTTTACGACAAACAAAAGAAATCTACAGTTTTGGACCAGGAACCCGCCAGACACCAATAGGCTGCAAGATGGCCCCCATCCTAGTTCCAGATGGGCATCGTTGCCCTGATGGTTCCAAGACGGCCCCCTCAGGTCCCGCGGCTCCAGTGGGTCCCCAGATTGGCATGCGTGTCCTGGTGGGTGCCCGCCGGGTTGACCGAGGTCCACGCCCCCCCCCTCATTCCCTCGATGTGCGACCTCCTCCACATGGGGCGGATGTGATGGTGGCGATGATGAAAACGGCGATGTTTTTTGTTTGGTTGTTAGGAGGGGCGGCGCGCGGCCACCGCGCGCGGTCTCTGCGCGGCGCGCGGGGCTCTTCGCAGGGCGCGCTGCGACTAGGAGAGCTGTCTTGTCTGATGGCCATGGAGAGGCCACCCCACTGGACGCGTTCCCATTGCCGCGAGCATTTATCCTGAGAGCCGCCGCCGCTGCCGTTGGAGCCGCCGCCGCTGCTGGGGTCCTCGTCGTCAGGCCTCTGCTTCTTGTGGCCTGGCTCCTCGTCGGCTTTGTCTTCGGCTTTGCGTTTCGCGTCTTTCGTCTCCTTCTCTTTGTTCTCTTCCTCCGCGGCAGGGGCTGCTGGCTCGGCGGCGAGTGGTTCTGGCCCGGCGGCAGGGGCTGCTGGCTCGGCGGCAGGGGCTGCTGGCTCGGCTGGCTCTGGGCTGCCGTTGCTTCCGCCCGTCGGAGCTGCCGCTGCGCGCGGAGCTGCCTCGTGCTCCGCCTGAGCTGCCGCCGCTTCTGCCTTTGCCCTTGCCCTCACCTCGGGTTCCCTCAGGTCTTCAGGCGTGGTCGGCTGGGCTGGCCCCTCAGGCGGGGCTTTCGGCCGTGCCCGCGCGGCGGCTGGCGCCGCCTTCCGGCGGACCCTGCAGGGGGGGCTCGGGCGGCTTCTTCTGTTCCGCCGTGGGCGCCTGTCCGGGCTGCTCTGGCGCGGCGGCGGCGCCGCCCGCGGCCGCGGCCCCTTCCTCGGCCGGCGCGGCCGCGGCCCCTTCGTGGGCTGGGGCCCCTTCGTGGGCTGCTGCGGCGGCGGCGCCTGCGGGCGCGGCCACTTCTGGGGCGGACTCGACAGGCGGGGCCATGCCCGCGGCGCTGCCCGAGGAGCCCCCGTCTTCGCGTTTCACTGCACGCCTGGTGCTCGTTGCCGAAAGCTTCCCCCGCGGCGCTCTGTTGCGAATTCTTGCGCCACATCACAGCGCACTTCCGCGCGGGGGGCGTCGCTGCCGCGGGCGTGGGCATGACCGCGGGCTCCTCCTCCTCCGCCTCCTCCTCGTCGACCTTGTCGGGCTCGCGGACCCCTCCCCCTCCCCCTCCCCCTCGCCGTCGTCGCCCTCCTCGTCGGGAAGCTCCTCCATGCGCCGAGCCCCCAGGGCAGCCGCAGGCTTCTTCGCCGTCTTCATCGCCGCGGCGGGCCTCTTGAGCGGCAAGCCCTTGCCCTGCGGCTTCCTCTTCAGCCACGTTTTGCACATGGCATTCGGCGCCTCCGTCTCCTTCTCCTTGTCGTCGCCGACGGTGGCCGTGCACATGCCGTCGGGCCTTGGCTTCATCTTGTACTCCGCGGTCGTCGCGCCGCGCTGCCCTATCAGGAGCATGCGCTCGTAGTCGACGGAGAAGATCTCGGGCTTCCTGTTCTCGAGCTGGTCGCTCTTCTTCTCGTCGCCCTTCTTGATCGTGATCGGGGGGCTGGCGGCAGCGCAGGTGGCTCGCGGCGACGAGCCGACGCTGATGGTGTCGCTGATCTGTCGCCGCTAGAGTTTCTTCCTTGGGCCAGCGGGATGCCCGTGGGAGGCTTCGCGCCGCACGCCTTGTGGATCGATCCTGGGCTCATCGTGGAAGCGCTGGCCGAGGCAGAGGTGCTGTCAGCTCGCCCAAGGGATCTGCTCCTAGGGCTGCTGACGCCGAGCTCGTTGATGATCGCATCTCGAACTTGAGGCTCAGAAATCCGCTTGGTGAGCTGAATGGCGCCGCCCAAAAACGCCATGTTGTTGGCGACCAAGTCGCCCATGTCGGATTGGTAGATTTTCATCGCCAATATCTCCTTCTGGCATGACTTCACCAACGTTTCCATGCTCTACACCGAAGCCGTGTTCTTCACCCGCTCCTCGGTCACGATATGCCCCCCAAACAAAAAACGGTATCACGATTGAACCAAGACGAGTTCGGATCGCGCGAGCCCCTTTTTGCGCCCTCCTCATTCGTCGTGCAGGAGGTATGACTGGCCCCTAACCGAGCGATGTTGCGAACTTATAGCCACATATTGGAAAAAAACACATATTGTCCCCGCCGCCGGGCTCCTCGGCAGCCGCGCGTCGACGCCGCGGCCGGCTGCCGGCGCTGCTGCCGCCGCTGCCGTCGGAGTCGGTGCCCCCATTTTCGGCGCTACCAGCGCCGCTGCTGGCGCCAGGGGGAGTCCGCCGCTGTCCTCGTAGCTGAGTGTTGTAGCCGGGGTTTCTTGGGTCGGCCGCCGCCGCCAGGGCGCCTTGTGCTCCGGGGGCGCAGTCGGGGCCTGCCGCGCGGAGGTCGCCAAGAGCTTACCCGCCTCGGGGAGCGGCGCGTGTTCCCGCCGCTCGTACCGGCCAGAACTGCTGGGGCGCCGCCTCTGGGGGCTCGCTCGCGCCGCGTCGCCGCCACCCTCGGGGCCCTCGGGGCCGCGCCGGCTCGGCGCCAGTCTCGCCGCCCGCGACCGCGCCCCCGCCGCCGAGAGCGGGCGGTCGCGCCCGCAGCTGCTCCTGCGCCTGCGCCGGCGGCGGGGCCGCTCGCTGCTGGGGCTGCGCCGGCGCTACCGGCGCTTGAGCCAGTGGCGCGCCGCCGCGACGCTGGGGTTGCTCGCGCGCGCCCAGTAGCCGTCGTGTCCGAGCTCGGCCCAACTGGGGGCCTGCAGGCAGTCGCGGCGCGAGGGCCTCCGCGGCTCCTCCCACGGGTCGCCGCCTTCGCCGTCCCCAGGCCCAGGCGGGGGCCTCACGCCGTCCGCCGGCGTCAGCAGCGGCGGCCTCCGCAAGCCCTCGCGCCGTCCGTCGGTGCCGCCGCCGCCGCTGGCCGCGTCGCCCGCGTCAGAGGTCGGCCGACAGGTCCTGGCGTCTGCCGGGCGCCTGGGGCAGCGGCCTTCGCCGCTGCCGCCGCAGCCCGGAAGCCCAGCGCTGCCGTCGGCCGCGGCGGCGCTCCTGGGGAGGAGCTGGGCCAGCACGCATCCCCCAGCGCCGCCGAAGAGGCCGCGGCGCGCCGCTCCCCAGGCGTTGGGCGCCAACGCGCCTGCTGCTGCGGCGCCTCCGTCGGCCCCCTCGCGGGACCCGGTAGCCGCCAGGGGCGCCGCGCCTCCTCCCCAGGGTCTGTGCCAGCAGCCCGGGGCGTAGCCGGCAAGAGCCGCGCCGTCGTGGAGCGTGACGGCGCAACAGGCCCAAACCCAGCCGGGCGGCAGCTGCGGGCCGCCGTCCATGCGCCAGGCCGCCTGGGCCAGCCGCCCGGCCAGCCCCTCGAGCCCACTGCTACCTCACGCCCCAAGCGCCGAAGGTGGTTTAATTGCACACAGCGGCGCGAATTCAGCTCTCATGCTTATCACTTTACAATGAATGGATTTGCAAATCGCGGCCTTGTCCGAGCTGCATGCAAGTTGTGTTTCGAGACGCCCCCTGTAAAATAGCACACGGAGGCCACGAATGTCAACCTCACTGCAGTTTCCGTCGTTGTGCCAGTCTTGCACCTTCGGTATCGTTACCCGATGGCGTTGGCGCTAACTCGTTGGAGCTTTCACTTGCGTGTCGGGGTTTGCCACGTGGAACTGATGGCCCCCATCCACACTTCCTTGCCCCTTCATCACCCTTTCTATTCAGCTCCCACCCTCTGCTACCCACCCCACCCCAGACATGGGGAAGCCGTGCGCGCGAGGCGCTGCCCGGGGAGTTCGACCGGGTCGCGGCTGATATAGAGAGGACGGTGGTCAAGCGGCACGCAGGCGGGTTGCGTCTCCTGCTCCTTCGGCGCATAAGCTCGCGAGAATTCTTTGAGACGGGAGAAAATAGGCGAAATGATCTCTTGTGGTATTGAAGTCTCTTTGGTACGGGATTGTCTTAAAACATGTGTGAGATTGGTGTATACTGAGATGGAGAGGTCCTGTGGTATTCGATCCCAAGGGGCCGGGAGGGAGGAAGGGAGCGGCGGACACAGGAGGGGGCGGAGAGGGGAGTTGGGACGGGGGAGTGGGGACGGGGAACCGGGCGAAAACGGGTAGAAGGACGGGAAGGGGGAGGGTAGGATCAATAGAGCACGATGATGACTCATGATTTCTGTGGCAGTTCGGCAGGGCGGCCTGATCCAACAGCTACCACCGCGTGGTCTGCAAGATCGCCAGAACTTACAGCCGAGACGGCAGCGGACGTAACGAAGGAGGGGCAAAACAGACGCGGGAAACATTGAGTGAAGACAGGGGTCTTTGTGACTGAGAAAGGGAGGCGGAGACGGAGGTGGATCAGCGAGGGGAAGTGCGAGGGTCTTAGAGAGGAGAGGAAGGGTAACAAAATAACGAGAGTAAGGGAGAAATAATAATAAAAAACATGTACTTCGCGCTCGGGTCCCACGTTCAATCCTCCTGCGTATACACAAGTGGCCGCTGTTTGGGCCCAACCGTTGTTCCCACAAAATGAATATCGTCCAGCTCGCTGCTCTCCAACCCATGTTGGACCATGTAGATTAAACGAAGAGGAAGTCTCAATAACGTTTGCAAAGTTGGCGCAGTCAGGTGTTTCCTGTGCGCTCACGACGAGCCACTGGCTGTATTTCGACAGCGTGTGAGCTCATTGCTTGTTTTGCGGAAGACGCTTTCCTCCGGTGTTTCCGCCACCCGCTACGCGTACGATAATCCTCTCGGTGACTTGGGTGGCGTCGAGTTCTTCGGTTGAGTTCCCGAGACAGGTGCTGGAAATACAATTGGCACCGTTTCAGCAGGTGGAACTTCCGAGCAGATCCGAAAATGTCGTGCTAGCGTCTTGCGAGCCGCGTGGAAGGTGTATGTGCCGCTTGTTTCTGGGCCAGCCGTTGACAGCATTGACAGCCTTGGTGTTATCTTCCCCCATCACATCCTTTCTTGAAGGGATTGATATGACAGTCACTCTGCGGGTCTGCTTCGCGCCACTTCTCTCGGCTGTGGCCACACCGTGTGCCTGGTGTTCGCAGGCGGCTGCCGGCGTCCTTTCTCCCGCATCGTCTATTCCTCCTGCTCCTGTAGCAGCGTTGTGGAACGGACCCCCCGCTGAGTTCAACAGAATGTGCAATGCTATTGACTCTACTGCTCAAGTGGTTTTTTGCCGGTCGCGGCGAAGGGGCGATTTCGGCTGAAGGTCTCCCCCAAAAGCTCCAGGCTCCGATCCAGTCAGCTCGCCAGCTCCTGGGGCAGCAATCTGCGGGTGTCGCCCTGTGCTCTGGCCATCTCCACTACTGCCAACGCCTGCCTGTCGCATGTGGACGCGTGGGGGGCGCCGGTGCCGCTCGGGGATGCGGCCGTCGCCATCGCCGCGAGATTCTTGCTGGGGATCCTGGCCGTGCTCGCGGTCCAGGCGACGGTGTGCACGTGCTTGGTGTCTGTGCGCGTGGTCTTGTGGGGGTTCGCCAAGTCGGAGGTGAGGCCGAACCACAAGGTTTTCATCGAGGACGATGGCCCCAAAGAGTCGCGTTCGTCGGGCGATCAACCTGCAGCCAGGGGACGTGATCTTCGTCGATTTCGGCGAGGAGGGGGGCACCTTGGCATGAGAGGCTGATCCTGGCAACGCTCGGATGAGCACGGTGTGTCATCCTTACGCCGGACGAAGACATGCATGAGGAGGATATCGACACCCTGAACGTGGCGGACTTCAAACAGGCGGGACACCGAGGCGGCTTGCCACCTGGCTTCGGCGTTGCGAGAGGTCAGCCCATGCACCGCTTCACGGAAAGGCCGAAGGGCGCCGCGCTCCAGTCGTGGATCGACGAGGCGGGCGTCATGGCGGAGGCGGCTCGGGCGGAGCGGAGGTTGGCGGTGGCTGGCGACGAGCCGGAGCCAGCAGCGGGCCGACTTGTGCTGTGCGGTCGGCGCGGTGACGTCTACTCGCTGCTTGACTCCCTGGCGACGCCGTCGGAGGTGTTCATCGGGATCGGCAAGCACGGCCTGCGCGATCAGGGCCGACGCGGCATCTTGGCGGGCATGTTACGGTTGTCGTTGGGCGAGACCTCGAGCCAGGCGCTGAAGGGCTTCGGCTGGGACGCGCTGGCCCCGGCCCTGGCGGCCGACGAGGGGGGCCCCGACGCCTCCGCCGCTGGCCGAGGACGCGCGCGCGCTCTCAATCCCGCGCGACTTGGCAGGCCGCAGGTTCTGCAATTTGAGGAGCTTGGCGGACAGTGCTGACATGTGTGAGCTCGTGGGCTGGATGCTGCCGGGGCCGCGCACCACGCCGCACGTTGTCTCGGGGGCCGCGAAGCAGAGCGGTGGGCCAGTCCAGAGGCACAGCATTTGGAAGCAGGAGAACAAGCTGAACGAAGATGAGCACAGCGCGGTGGCGCAGGAGATGTTGCCGGAGATCCTGGAGCTGGCCGGCACCTACGACCAAGTTGGCGTCTCCAACCTAGCGAGCATGGAGGCGCTGGCGAGCCACATGCAGTTCATCGAACACAAGATCAAGAAGAAGAAGAAGGATACGGTGGGGGACTTCGATTCACAGGACTGCTACCTCAGCCACACTCGCCGCACGGGAGGCGCGAACGCGAGCCCTGAGCTGTTGAAGTGGGCGTCGGAGTCGGCGGCGAGGGTCTCGGCCATTCTGAAGGAGGACCGGAAGGCGGCGGAGGAGTGGGCCCTGGCGCGCGCCATTCCGAAGTCATGAGGGTCTTCGAGGCTGGGAAGTGGCCGACCCCAGCCGGTGCCACCAGGCTCCTGGAGCGCATGGTGCCGAGGGATTATTTACCCTTGCCGTCGGCGCCCTTGTGCCCAGCGCGGGGCGCGCGGGCCTTGCCGCGTCGCTCTGCTCAGAGGGTCGGTCGCAGGGCTGCCGTCGGCCGACGCGCGAACAGCTGCATCGCCGCCGCGACAACTTGCACGGGAAGGGCGACTTTTGCCCGGAGGCCCAGCCTTCGGAAGCACATTTTTCCTCCGTGGACATGCCCTGGCAGGCCGCGTCTGAGGATGAGCCGCTGGACGACGCCCCCAGCCGCGACGGCATTGGAGGAGTTGCTCGGCTCGGGATGTCTGGGCCGCGGCCCAGACGGCCCCACCGTGGTTGCGCCGCATGATCGCGGCCAGGTTTCGCAGCCCGATTCGGCGGGCTGCGTCAGCTCGCTGGTGGCGTTGCCGGAGCCCGACTGCCAGGAGGTGGTCAACAGCGAACGTCCGCTTTTGCTTCGCGCCGATGAGGGCCGCCCAGGCGGCGCCGAGGTGCACTGGGATAAGACGTCGAAGTCTAACAGAAACGAGCGCGTGCTCTTCGCGCTGGACCTCCCGTTTGGAGGCATGGTGGAGCTGCGCATTCGTCGCGCTCGCTGCGAGGAAGGAGTCGGGCAAGCTCCAGCTCATCGTGGATGCCCGAGCTGTGAACTAATCCCAGAAGCGGCCGCCGACGACCCACCTTGCGTCGACCACGACAGTGGCGGGTTTGGAGGTCGAGGACGGCGCCCAGCTTGGGTTCTCGATCCAGGACGTCGCGGACTGCTTCCACCAGTTCAAGGCGCCGGAGCACATGGCGCCGCGGTCTGGCGCGCCCCGCTCAGGGCCCGCGAGGTGGGGGCGAGGTTGGTGGAGGACCATGTGATCTCGGAGGGGCGTGGGTCTACCCATGAATGCTTTGCCCATGGGGTTCTCCAGGGCCGCGAGGTGGACGCAGCAGGCTCATCGCGAGTTCCCTCGACGCGGGGGCCTCGGGGGCATCGAGAGCGAACTGGCGGATCGCCAGGTCGCGCCAGGCGCGGGCTCGCCGCTGGCGCCGCGAATCGCGCGCGTGGACCATGAGATCTTCGCATTTCGCATCCTTGCAGGCGGGCGCCACTCGCGGCGCGCGCAGGCAGGCGGCCAAGGCGACGACCGAGGCAGGCCTGAAGCTGCACGAGGTGGAGGAGAGCAAGTCAGCGGTGGAGGCGCTGGGCCTGGAGCTGGACGGCACCAGGCTGAGGGCGCGGCCGGCGCGTGCCAAGCGCTGGCGGATTGCGCCCGGCACGCAGGCGACGCTGCGGCGGAGGCGCGTGGCCGGCAGGGGAGTCGAGAAGATGATTGACCAGATCACGCAACGCCATGCCCACGAGCATCGGCATCGGCACCTCGACGACGATTTCGATCAGCACGATTGGGAGGGACACAACGGGGGGCATCAGCGGGGGCGCCGCGCCCAATAGCGCCACGGCGCCCAGCAACACCACTGTGAACACGTGCTCTTCAGAACCCGGACGCCGTCACACGCGTTCGTCTTGCTCGCCGGGGGTGCCGCGGCCTCCCAGGACTTCCAGTGCATGTGCATCGGCATCCTGACGACATTCGCAACCGGAACGATTGGGGGCGCCACGTGGGGGGGCAGCAGCGGGAGCGCAACGCGCAATAGCGACATGGCGGTCGGGTGGGCACCTCCGGCGCGAGCCGCCCGTCACATTTGGTCGGTTGGAGACCTGCAACTGACCCGAGCCACCCCGCCTCGCCTGTCAGCGCGAGCGCGCGCTGCACCCAGGCAGGGACAAGGCCGCCTCCGGCGCGAGCCGCCCGTCACACCTGTTCGTGCACGCGCCTGAGTTCGACCTCGACGCCTTCGCCAGCGCTGACGCAATCACCAACGCCTACGCATGTGCCCGAACCAGCGCCAACGCCTACACCTGCACCGACACCAGCACAAGAGCCGACGCCAGCACAAGTGACGGCGCCTACGCCGGCACCGACTCCAGACCCACAGCAGCACCGACGCTTGCACCAACCCCGGCGCCTACGCCGACACCCACGCCAGCACCTTCACCAGCGCCAACGCCGTCGCCTACGCCAGCACCAACGTCAGTGCTTACACCATGAGTGATGCCAGCACCAACGCCTGCGCATACGCTGGCACCAACGCCATCGTCTACACCATCACCGACACCAGCACCAGCGCCCTGACGACGACTGGGACAAGCAGCATCACACGCAGCAGCACCAGCTTTATTGGCATCGCCGCTCAGAGCAACAGCAGAGCATTCAGCAGTACCAGTGCGGTCGCCACGATGGCACCAATAGCGCCACGTCCAGTCGCACCAGCGCGACCCGCGCCATCAGGGCGAGCACCACGACGGGGGCCAGGGCACCACGCGCAGCAGCAATGTCGACAATATCTGAAGACTCCGGCGCGAGGGCTCCCACCTCCCCGTTCTCTCTGGGCCTCTCCCTCTCGCCCCTCCCGCTCTTCTCTTGCATGCTCGGTCTTTCGAGTTGTTTCTATTGCACGTCAAACCCGGCCACCCCTCGGCCGCGGACACTTGCCACAGGCTTGGATGTCTGCCGCCTCAGGGGCTCAGGCTTGTCCGGGGCGCCGCCGTGCCCCCGTGCGTATTTGTTCTAAGTATTCCAAGTCCAATCACTTTGCTTGACTGTCCAGGCTACTCCGTGCTTTGGCGCGCGGCCTGCCTGTTCCTCTGTTTCCACTCGCTTGCACGTGGAGCCGGTCGGCTGTGAATGTGCTGTTTATTGAATCGTTTCGCCCATTCCGCCGACCCATATTGCGCGCCGTTGTCGGCCGGCCGAGCCCTCTTTCGCGGTGCGGAGCCGCAGGGCGGCGCTATATATATATATATATATATATATATATATATATATATATATATATATATATCAGGTTTTGAGGGCCTCCAGAGGAGGCCACTTGGGGCCGAGAGCTCGAAACGCGTGTTCGCGTTCCCCGTCTGGGCTTTCTCATGGAGCCGCCTTGAGAGGCTCCTGGGCCGTCTTGGATGCCTCTGGGGCTGTCTCGGAGCTCTATCGGACCGATCTGGGCTCCTCCTGAAGCGTTGTCGGGCCCCATCTGAATCTTGTTGGGCTGTTTGGGGGCGATCTTGCAGGCATCTGCGGCAATCTTGGAGCCCGGGGAAGCGGAAAAGGCGAGAACGGCAAATTCGTTAAACGACGCATAGGGGATTATGTGTTTTGCTTATGGTGGCTCTCTCGGGAGGCTTCTTGGTGGCCGCTGAGGGAGTCTCGAACGCGTCGCGGGCTGTCTGGAAGCAGTTTGCTTGCGGGGACGCTTTGGGGAGGCCTCTTGGTGGCTTCGGGTCGTTGGCACTTGCTTGCGCGTTCGGGGGGGCACTTGGGGGGCCTCCTGGGGGCCTGTCCGGGGCCCCTTGGGGCCTCTTCGGGGCCTCTTAGTAGGGGCCTATTGGGGATTCCTGGGGGCTTCTTAGGGCCGAGTGCTCGAAATATTGTTTCGTGTTCCCCCCTTGGCACCTCCCTGGCGTTCTCGGGGCCTTCTTGGGCCGTCTTGGAGGCCTCTTGGGCCGTCTTGGAGCCCTCTTGGGCCGTCTTGGGGCCCTCTTGGGTGCCTTCTGGCCCTCTTGGGGCGGTCTAGGGAGCCTTGGGCCGTCTCGGGGTGCCTGGGAGCCGAAAGGTGATTTCAAGTCGCTTGCGCGTGGAGCCGGTCGGCTGTGAATGTGCTGTTGTTGTGTATTTTCTTTGTCTCCTCCTCTCTCCCGCGTGTTGCTGATGCGTTTTATGGGTTAACTCGTATCGCAACCACCGCGCTGCTTCGCCTCATCGTCGTTGTGTTGTGGTTTATATTATCAATTGTCAGTTGGTTAATGGGGATTCACGCACAACGCCGCTGACCTGTCTGCCACGCCCCCCTCCTCTGCGGGCACGCTTCGCATGATGTCGTCGTCTCGGCGGATCGCCCGCCGCCGCGCTGCTCTCTGTCCCACGTTGTAGCGCAGCTCTGCTGTCGGGCATTGCAGCGCTGATCAACGCGGTGGGCAATGTCTTTGCGGTGAAGCGAAAAATCACGCACGCCTTGCTCCTGAACCGCCCGGCCACGCGCGTCTTCAGGGTTGCCTGCGACTTCGCCAGGAAGCACTACAAGGCACTGGCACTGCTGTGACCGTCGGCGAGGCAGGAGCTCGCCAACGCTCTCCACTTGCTGCCGCTGCTCTCGGCGCAGTTCGACGCGCCGCGGTCCGAGCGGGCCGCCTGCTCGGGCGCCGCGCTCCGAGGCTACGCGGCGCAGGAGGCCGACGTGGAGCCCGGCGCGGCGGGGGAGGCAGGTCGCCGGAGTGAGTGGCGGCGCTTCCGCGTCGAGTCGGCAGGGCGCCCGCGCGAGACGGCGCTGGCGGAGCTCCCGAGGGGTGGTCGAAATAACCTAACAGAGCCTCTCCTCCTGCCAGATCTCGGGACCATCTGGGACTCGCGCATCGGGACCCTGAGGACCTTGGGGGGGCCCTAGAGCAGCCTCTTTGCCACTGGCGTCTTGGGTCGGGGCGCCATCGGCTCGTGCTCATCGAGAACGCTGCGGGCCTCGCGCACGGGTGTCTGGAGGCCTCCAAGGAGCCCCTCTTCTTCATGAGTCTCAAGATCATGAGGGCCCCGAGCACTGGGCCCTGAGGACGTCTTGGGGGGGGGGGCCTCTTGGACGCCGATGTCGACATCAGGATCGATCACGAATGCCTTTCGATTCCCAAGGGGATCATCGAGGGGGCCAACTGGGGGGCGACCCAGGCGAGGAGATATCATAGGAAGGAGGCGAGCCATCTCAAGGAACTCTGGGCCGCTCTTTGGGTGGAGGCGTAAGTGCCGGCAAGCTAAGTTTCATCGTCACCGCCATCTATTCTCGTGCGATAACATGGGAATGGGCCTGAGCCTCGAGAAGGCCTGTCGCTTCAGGTGCTTTTCCTGCTCAGAAACTGGACCGCCCTGCCCGTGGTTTCTTTCTTTCGCACCATCGCGCGTTGGGTGGCAAGCGAACTCAACCCCTGATGAGCCAAGCCGGTGTTTCGACTCGCCTGCTGAGAAGGCGGTTGCTGCTGCACTGGAGGCCCGGCGTCGCGGGGCTGCCGAGGCGTGCTCGAGCGCTTCCCGAAAGGGGCGGCGCGCTCGGGCCTGGCCGGCCCTATGGCAAGAGGGCGCCGCGGTGGGCGCGGCGCCTGGCCCGAGGGCCAGAGGCGGCGGCCGCTGCCGAGGCCTGCGCCGGCCCCTTCGGTCAGAGCGGCGGCGGGGCCGGCGCCCTCGACCGAACGGCGGCTTCCTTCATCGACAAGGCGTCGCCGCTCCCACGCGCCCCGCCCCAACCGCCTTCTCCCGCCGCCGTTCGCGCGGGCTGGGGGTGCTGCGAGAGCGCGCAAGGTCGCGACAGGCGGGCTGACCACGTTGGACATTGAGCGCATCACGCTGAAGACGAGGCAGGACTACGAGAGGAGGCTGCCGCGGTTCGACGACTTTTGCTGGACCCACGGGCTCGAGACGGGGAACGACGCCGAGTTGGAGGAGGCGGTGGTGGAGCACATGGACCTGCAATTCAGTCGGGGGGGGCGTCGAACAGCGGGGCCAAGCTGCTCGCCGCCATGGGGCACCACGACCCAAGGCTGCACCACGCGGGGAGGCCGCTGAAGCTGCCAAGGGCGGCGCGGGCGCGGCAGGGCCGCTGGAGGCCAGAGCTTCAGTGACGAGGGCGCGGGCGCCGTGGGCGGCAGCGGCCGCTATCGCCATGGCCTTGATCCACCTCGGCCATCGGCGGGCGGCTCTCGGCGCGGCGCTCGCGGCGGATGCCCACCTTCGCCCGCGCAGCCAGCGGCAAGAGGCGACCGCCGTTTCGCCTCGCTGGCGCCGAGGGCCGAGGAGGAGCTGCAGGCAACGACTCGATCTTGCTGGGCAGCCCATCGAGGTCCTTCCCGGGGCCCTTGCTGGAGCAGGCGGCGCGCCAGGCGCAGCCGATGTAGCGCTTCTTTCCGTGGTCGGAAGCGGCCTTCAATGCAGCGTTCAAGGAGGCAGCCGCTCAGGTGGGCTTCGCAAACTGGGCGCTGACGCCCTACGTCCTCCGCCACTCTGGGCCGTCGCACGATTGGCTCACCAAGGCGCGGATTTTTGAGGCCATCAAGCGTCGCGGCCGCTGGGCGTCGGACCTCAGCGCCAGGCGCTGCGAGAAAAGGCCCCCGGGCGATGCGCCGCCTGGCCTCGCTGGGCCGCGGCGCGCAGGTGCCACTGGCCGTGGCCGACCAACTGCTCGAGGGGGCGCTGAAGGGCGGGCGCGCAGGCAGATTCGTTCGCGTGCTCCAGGGCGCGGGCCTCGGGCGAGATCGCCTAGGCCCCGTTGCCGCGCTCAGCCCCTGTTTTCAAATCTCTGTGCAGGCAAGGCTGGCCTTGCCAATGCCATGTCGCGTCGCGGCTGGCCTCCTAGGTCGTGAGACATCAGGTCCAATCCTAGTCAAGACCTCAGCAAAGAGAAAGTATTTCGGGATGTGCACCAGCTTGCGCCTCAATCTAAGTGGGCCCACCTGCGCACGCCTTGCAGCAGTTTCTCTGGAGCCCGTCGCGGCAGACCCCGCTCTCATAGGGGCCTTTGCGCACCCATCAGTTCCCAGGTGGCCCCCTCCCTCAGCGACACCGATGCCGAAATGGTCAGAGTACGAAACGTGCTGCTGCAATCCACTATCAGGGTGGTTCCCGCACGCTTGCGCCATTAATCTGGTGCCCGCGTCATTGCAGAGTTGGAATGACGTGGCGAAAAGGAAGCCACAATAGCATGCTGGGACAATGACAAACATCAGTAGGCGCCCCTGGCGGCACAGTGCGCAAACTCTCAGTATAGGTACCCAAGTAAGTTGCGTCAGATTTTAGAAGACAAGGCACGTGGCGGAATGTTGCGGACACAAGTTGCTGAGCCTTACCCACCTCGATTCATACAACTCTGGGCGGGATTTGTAAACAGGTCGTTTTCGGAGACAATCCCGTTTCAACCGCCACGTCGCAGATCATGGCGGTTGTTGGCAAGAGGTGCGAGCCAGCTCTCAAACAGGGTGGCCCGCATCAGACGCCAATCGAATGTGGCGCCACTGTGAGAATCATGTGGCCCTGGGAAGACAGTGTATGTAGCAGCGTTGTGGGACGGGGCCCTCGCTGAGTGGAACAGAGCGTGCAATGCTATTGGTTCTTACCTGGCCGTAAATATTACGGTGTCGTTCCAAAGGCCATCGCATTGCGTGCCTGACCAGTTGTATTTTTTTTGTTCAGAAGAAGTTGTGCCAGGGGTGCGACCTAGCTCTCAAATAGGGTGGCCCGCATCAGACGCCAATCGAATGTGGCGCCATTGCGAGAACCACGTGGCCCTTGGAAGAAAGTGCAAATTCCTCCTCGTGCTCTTCCAGTGGCGCTGCACAGCCTTGCGTGCGCCCTCCCGCTTAAGTTGGCGAGGTCGCACGGGTGTTGTATAGTCTCTTGCCCACCAGTTGGGGAGCTGGGAAGCCCTCTCCCTGGCGGTGGCGGAGGTGTTTCCGCTGCGACACACGACGGGGGAGGAGCACGAGTCCGCACGTTTTAGGACTGCATGGGTGTTGGATCCGAGCCACTAGAATCTGAGTTCGGCGCCCGCATCTGGCCAAGGCACGGCAAGTCCAACCTCCATATCTGCGTCATTTGCACGCCGTGTGGAAGACAGGCCCAGGAGTCCGCGAGAGCGGTTGTGACTGAGGGTGCCCTGCCGAAATCGCAGACGCGTTCAACATCGGCAGAATTGCCTGGACAGCCCAGCATTAACGCCAAATTGCTGCACAGGACGCTGCCAGGCTGAATTAGATACGGTATGGAACCGTGTTCATGATTGCCTCCGTGTTGATGCTTGGGTGTCCAGTCGATTGCACAGTCAAGGAAACTCTCGAGGCGGGCGTTGCAATGTTTGTTCCCCGATGGCCCAATTACAGTCAAATGCGGACGCTTGGTCATCATTGCGTTCGCTTCGACCCCCGTCCTGCGCCAGCAGGATTCAAATGGTTGGTTTCTCCGTTTCTTGCATCGTGATGTCTGGGATGCGGCGGAGCGCCATCGGGTTTGCGCATGACCGTGATGGTGTTGTGTCGCTCCGTTGTTGTGCATGCACGGTGCACTCCTTTGGTTGTGCTACCACGACCAGGATAATTCTAGCACTTGCGAAAGTACGGCTCCAACAGGCAAGCCTTGAGCCACGGCGATGATGAGTACATGGTGGTGATCGTCGCAGTCATGTGTGGGCACTGACTGGTCCCATCGCCATCGTCATTGTACACGCGTGGATTCTTGGGACACGTGCCATGGAATGAGGCCCGCCTTGCAGGAGAAACCCAATCCATTGTGCACATCAGTTCGCACCGTCATATATGATGCGACCACTGCCCCTCTTTCCAGAAATGATGACGAGATGAAAGGGAAGAGAGAGAGAGAGAGAGGCAGAGCGAGCGACAGGCAAAGACGGATACAGAGGGAGCCGAGAAGAGGGGGCTCATCGAGAGCATCAGCATCACAATCAATCGTCATCACCGTTCACCGCTCGTCAGCACCATCCCCGTAACCATCATCAGGAGCATCACCATCATCAGCAGCAGCATCAGCAACAGCATCATCACTATTAACATTCACCATCATCAACAGTATCATCATCAGCAGCAGCATCATCATCGACATCATTAGCAGCAGGATGAGCTGCATCAGCATCATCATCATCAGTATCAGCATCATCGTCATCTTCATCAGCACTCGGCATCAGCATCGTCGTCATCATCATCAGCATCATCATCGTCGTCACCAGCAGCAGCAGCATTATCATCATCGTCATCATCGCCAGCATCAGCACCATCACCATCATCATCAACTGAATAATCGTCATCATCAGCATCATCATCAGCAGCATCCCCATCAGCCTCAGAATCGCCATCACCATCATCATCATCATCATCAGCAGCAGCAGCAGCACATCATCAGCATCATCCTCATCATCATTCGCATCAGCATCATCATCATAGGCATTGTCGCCGTCGTCAGCGTCCTCATCATCAGCAGCATCATCAGCACCATCATCCTCAGCAGCGTCATCATCAGCGTCGTCGTCAGCATTATCGTTCTTATCACCCACAGCATCAGCATCATCTTCATCACCAGCATCAACACCATCATCATACTCAGCAGCATCGGCATCAGCAGCAGCAGCATTTCCATAGTCAGTGTCGTCATCCGCATCATCACCAGCATCATCAGCATCACCATCGTCGTCATCAGCATCATCATCATCATCCTCGTCGTCATGCTCATCGTCGTCATCGACATGATGGTCGTCGTCATTACCAGCATCATCATCAGCATTCAGCAGCAACAGCAGCATTAGCGTCGTCGGCATCAACATCGTCATCATCACAAACAACATCAGCAGCGTCAGCACCATCGTCATCACCAGCATCATGACCATCATCACCAGCAGCAGCATCAGCAGCAGCATCAGCATCAGCATCTTCATAATCAATGTCGCCATCATCATGAGCATCATCAGCAGCATATTCATAAGCAGTGGCATCATCATCAGCATCAGCATCAGCATCATCACCAATACCATCATCAACATCATCATTATTATCATTGGCATTAGCATCAGCATCATCGTCATCGTCAGCATCATCATCAGCATCGTCATCATCAGCATCGGCATCATCATCATCACTATCAGCCTCATCATCATCGTTATCATCGACGTCCTCATCTTCATCAGCATCATCATCAGCGTCATAATCAGCATCAGCATCGTCATCGTCGTCTTCATCACCATCATCATCACCACCACTATCATCACCAGCATCCCGAGAACGCTGCGGCGCGCACACCGCGCGCAGCCGCCCCAAGGCGCCTCGGCGCCCCCGCCGCACCCAGCGGCGCACGGTGCGGACACCCCGCCGAGGCGCGGCACCTTCCCGCGGCGCGCGGCCGCGTCGCCCCCCCGCGTGCGGAAAGTTGAATCGAAAGGGCGGGGACTTGGGGACGGAGGGCTCGCCTTGTGCCCTGCCACTCGCCCTGCTTCTTCCCTCCCCCTCTCGCCTTCTTTTGATGTGGTTATCTCCCTCGCCCTTCTTCGGCGTCTGCGCTTCGCTGTCTGGCTCTCCTTCCCTGCCCCTGCTCCGCTCGCTCCCTCTTCGCTCCTGGATTTTCCCCTATCCCCTCCCTCCTCGGGTTCGCGCCCCCCGTTGCCTTTGGCCTGCGGCTCGCGCGCAACGCCTTGCTGTCTGTTCGATGCAGGCGGCGCCTGCGCCCTCTCGCTCGTTTTTCGACGGTTAGCGCCTGCGGCGCAACCCGCGGAGTCAAAAGCGGAGGAGGAGGAGGAGGAGGGGGAGAAGGGGGAGGAGGAGGAGGAGGAGGAGGAGGAGGAGGAGGAGGAGGAGGAGGAGGAGGAGGAGGAGGAGGAGGACGACGACGACGAGGAGGAGGAGGAGGAGGAGAAGCTCTTTTCTGTCCGCGGACCAGGTGTCCTAGAAGGCCGGTACCTCCAAATAGCGGTTGCCGAATTCGGCACATCGGTTGTTATGCCATTGGGAAAGGGGGTTGTAGTACGTTGGAGGAGGAGGCAGGAGAGCAGGAGGAGGAGGAGGAGGAGGAGGAGGAGGAGGAAGAAGAAGGGGGGAAACAGAGGAGAGGAGAAGTAGGATGAGAGGACGGCGGAAGGCAGAAGGCGGAGGAGGGCAAAGGAGGGGGACAGCAACGACGAGGAAGGATTATGATTCAGAAGTGTAGCCCAAGCTGGGGCCAGAGAGCGACTCCTAACAACTGAGGCTACGCAGCTATCTTGAAATGCAGCCAAGTCTGCAGCGGGAGCACTATCTTGAAACTACGCGAAGGCGCTCCGACTAAAACTCGTGTGCTTGAAAATCCCACCAATGTGCCTGGGCTGTTGGTATGAAGCTGATTGGCAGCCCAAGAGGCGCCCAAAACTGCCCAAGAGGGCTCCAAGACGAGGGCCCCAAGACGGCCCCCAAAGGGGCCCAAGAGAGGGAACACGAACCGAGCATCCGAGCCTTCCGCCCCAAGAGGCCCCCAAGAGACGCCCAGGAGACGCCCAGGAGGCCCCCGAGAGGCCCCCGAGAGGCCCCCAAGAGGCGCCCAGGAGGCCCCCAAGTGGCCCCCGAGAGGCCCCCAAGAGGCGCCAAGAGGCCCCCAAGAGGCCCCCAAGAGGCCCCAAGAGGCCCCAAAGAGGCCTAGAAGAGGCTCCAAGCGGCCCCCAAGAGGCCTCCAAATTGCCTCCAAGAGGCCCCTGAAAGGCCTCCCACGAGATCCCAACGAACAAGCTGGGGAGCAGCCTGTCAGGAAGCGCCGCATCGCAATAGCCAGAGCGTTTCGGGACGGAGTTTAGGCTAGGGGGCGCCATCCCACCCACCCCTCATCGCCCTTCCCCGCCACCCGCCTCTCCCTTTTCCCCCGAGGGAAAGCCTCCCCTCCTTCCCTCTGTCCATTCCCCTCCCCTGCCCCTCTCCGCAGCGGAGGAAAGTGAGCTACGAGGGGGGATGAGCGCGCAGATGTACTTCGTACTTGTCGAGTTGCGCGTCCCAGGGGAAGCCATCTCAGATGCGCATTTGCGCTTTGAAAACCCGTGGAGTGGGCTGTACACGCATGCTTTCCTTTTGTGGAGGCCACGCGATGCTGCAGGCAGATGCGCTGCAGCGACCGGGCTCGAATCTTATGTTCTGCAGCTGTTGGGGGGCTCTATCGTGGAGGGCCCCAGGGAAGCTGATGCGAGGCACGTGCCGTGGTAAGAGGCACCCCGGCGGCTGCGAGCAGCTCCGGCGCAGAAGCCAGGGCAAGGTTCCACATTACCATGCATGCCCGTGTCAAACATCTTGCATTGGAGGCCTCCGTGCCCCTCTGAGCAAAAGACAACATGCGGATCGCGCCGCTTATCCGCCGCGCAGCGCCTGCTATACATTCCCCCAGGGCCGCAAGGATCAGCGTGGCAGCGCTGCTCTCCGCAGCCTCGCGAGCAGGCCTTGCACAAAACGATGCACGTAGGTGGAGTGGCGTCCGCGAGCACGACGTGGCTCAAGTGCGAGCTGCGGGCCGACAGGCGGCCCGCGCATCGCAGCACGATGGGGATTCAGAACCCCAGGCCAGCCCTGACTGGGGAACGCGGAGGCGCTCTCCTTGAGAACCCTGCTGGGCAGGTGCAGCCCCAGACGGCTTGAGCCTTGATTGTTATCCTGGAGGGGCTGCCCTTTCGGGTGCCGACCCCGACCGGCCCCTCTCCCTCCCGTTTCTTTTCCTCTCGTTGTGGAAACGAGGGCGACGACAAGATGGTGTTGAAGAAGAACAGGAGAAGGAGGACGAGGAGGAGATGGAGATGGAGATGGAGATGGAGATGGAGATGGAGCAAGGTGGTGACGGGGCGGGGGCGGGGGGGGAAGGAGGAGGAGGAGGAGGAGGAGGAGGAGGAGGATAACGACGACGACGACGACGACGACGACGAGGACGAGGACGAGGGCGAGGGTGAGGGCGAGGACGAGGACGAGGACGAGCCGAGGACAGTCAGGAGGAGAAGATTGGAGGAGGAGGAGGAGGAGGAGGAGGAAGCGGACGAGGAGGAGGAGGAGGAGGAGAAGGAAGAGACCAAGCAGAAGGAGGGAGGTGGGAGAAAAGAGACAGGAGTAGGAAGAGGAAGATAAGGTAGGAAGTGACTCGCAACATACGGTACTTGCCTTGCCGTCAACTGTGTCGCCACATGCCTCCCCCCCCCTCGTGTGCGCCACCTTGCCAGACTGCCACGGATCTGACATGTTTGGTGTCTGTTCACGACCTAGCGCACTCTCTGCCACCCCCTTCCAATTATCTCAGCCACTGCCACGCCCACATCGGGGAAGAGGGGGTGGGTGGTGAAACGATGCGGTATGAAAGAGAGGACCTATGGCCACCTGGGCGCTGACAGGGCCCCCAACAGTGACCGCGTCAGGCATCAGCGAGCAGGATCAGTTCCCCTCCTTTTCCCCTCCCTCCCTCTAGTATGATACGATCTGACTGGACCCCCCCAAAGCTATCCGTCCGCCACCAAATACATATATATATATAAAAATGTCGTTGTCCACGAAGGCAGCCTGGGGGGAAGCAAGGCAGCGTCAGGATTGACGTCAATGCCTGCAGCGTGAGCGTTGGGAGGCAGAAGGAGGAGGAGGAGGAGGAGGAGGAGGAGGAGGAGGAGAAGGAGGTATTGAAAGAAGATGAGGAGGAGGAGGAATTCAAGGAAGATGAGGAGCAGGACGAGGACGAGGACAGGCAGGAGGGAGGCCTGAGTGCAGATCGGGTATCAGACGAGGTATCCGCCAAAGCCGCCAGAGCCGGAGCTCGTGCAGCAGCTTGGTGATAGTGGTGGCTACGGTTGACCATCCTTCCGAGGCCACGTGCGAGGAGGACAGGGCAGGAGGAGGGAGATGGGAAAGGAAGGAGGAGCAGGAGCAGGAGGAGGAGAGCAAGCGTGGGGACGGAGATGCGCGAAGAGGAGGCAAGAGCCAGGAGGGCCGCCCTTCCCCGCCGCCCGCCCCGGGGCGCCAGCACCTGCCCCCCGAAGGCCTCAGGACGCCGCGGGGCCGCCGCGCCCGCCGGGCGAGAATGCCAGCCGCCCCGTGGCGGCCAGCGCCGTGGAGTTCCCCGCGCCGCCGGAGATCCCGCCCTGGCGCCCCACGACGACGCTCAGGGGCCAAGGTTAGGGGGGGGGGCGGTCGGGAGCTTTAGCCTGGCGTGTCGCGTCGCAGCTTCTGGCCCACCGCGCGTCGGTGCGACGCGCTAACCACGCCCACGCCCCAGCACGTAAACCTCGCGAGCTTTTGCCGCCGCGACACGCTAGATGAGCAAAAGTGCCTGACCGTAGGCGAAGGGGAACGCATCGGCTCCCAATGGCCCATTCTTCGCCGATAGGGACCTGATAGCCCACGCAGCCCAGGAGCATGCGCTTCCGCGATGGGGGGTCTATGGCCGATCTATCGGCGATGTATCACCGATTCAAGCCCCCTGAGCCCATCTCCCCTTATCGTTTCCCCTCAGACGGCGGCGGCGGCGGCGGGCGCGGTGGAGCCCCCATGGCTCTCGACGAGGGCCCTCCGCAGATTGCCCGATGGCCCTCCCGGACCCATGCCCAGCAGGCAAGGCAAGGCAGGGCAGGGTCATGCAGGCGCGCGATGTCGGCCCGACCGGACCGGCCCTGAGAGGGCAGTGTCGGGCGGGGTTGGGACAAGGATAAATCCGTTCCAGAGCGTTCCAAAACGGTCTCAGAGCGTTCCGAAACGCTCTGGGAAGGCCTCGGCGCCCGATACATCTTCCAGAGCCGCCGGATCTCAGACACACGATGTATCATACATCCGAATCTGTCCTCGTCCTGGCTTCGTCCCAGCAGTGTAGGATGGCCGTGCCCTCAGGAGTCGGCTTGGGGATTCAACGGCAGGGAGCTTGGTAGGGACAGCCAGAGGCGCGCCTCGCCCGGCGAGCCTCTCGGCCCATCGCCGCTGCGCCGTGCCGGAATCGCGCGGCCACACGGCCTGGGCGCCCCCCCACGCGCGGCCCCGGCCGACACGGTGAGGACGAGGAGGAAGGTCGGCTACGCGCAAGAGCGACCTTTCGCCGGAGTAACCTTTGGGTGCGGGCCCCATGGGGCCCATAGCAGCGGCTTGCGCGCCTGTTGGTGTCCCCAGGGCACCCCCCTTTGGCCGCGCACCAAAGGTCACTCTTGCCCAGGGTCATTGTTTCGTGTAGCCGAGAAAGGCGGGGAGGAGAAGGAGGAGGAGCGGAAGGGGCGTTTAGGCCCCATGGAGGCCGCTTTCCTTGCCGAGATTATCCCTCCGAGATGCTGCGCAAGCGGCTGCCGAGCAAGACGAGGAGGGAGAAGTGGAGGCGCTTCATACTTGCGTTTCCCCAAACAGTGATTGCACTAAGGGATTCTTAGTTCTGTTCTAAGGAGCTGGGTCCGACGGTCGGTCTGGCGTTTGGCAGCTATGTGGCCGCCGTCGCCGCCCCGTCGCCGCCTCGTCGCCGCCCGTCGTCTGGGCCTGCCTGTCGGTCTGACGGCTATGTTGCCGCCTCGTCGCCAAATCGTCGCCGCCCGTCGTCTGGGCCTGTCAGTCGGTCTTACGGCTATGTTGCCGCCTCGTCGCCACATCGTCGCCGCCCGTCGTTTCTGGGTCTGTGTGACGGTTTAGCCGCTATGTCGCCGCCGTCGCCGCCTCGTCGCCGTCACAAAGTTAGTTGATTCCACATAGATTGATCCATAACTTGTAGATTCTCTTTTTTGAAACAGATAGGTTCTACCCCCCTCCCACCCCCCGGAATTAGCCACTCACTGGGAACCGATGTAAAACGCAGAGGGTTCTGACCCAATATCCATTTTACTTGTGAGTTCATACAACCCCAGCCAGGCTGGTATCGACCTCCCCCCGTCGGTTCCCTTGCAAAAAAAAAGATGGCGCGCACATTCGTTTGTCTAAAGTCATAGGTGTTCAAGAACCCTTTGCCGAAAAGGGACGAAGTGCACACGCGCGCATCGTCGCGCGCGCATGTCAAAATCCCCTTTCAAAAAACTCTGGGTTCCGAAAGGATTTCAAAATCGAGTGTCCAAAAAACAGAAATAGGGTTTCGCAACACGGATGTTCAACAAAAGCTTGCGCGCTCTTTTGCGAATTCTTAAGAACACCACAGGTGTTCAACCGTGTCAATAAAATACTATCAAACGGGCGTCGCGCGCGCATTTCGAAATCGCCCGAATGCCCTGGCGCGCGTGCCGTCGCGAGAATCACACGCGCGCATCGTCGCGCGCGCATGCCGCAATCCTTGAAATAATTTCTTGGTTTCGGAAGGATTTCAAAATCGAGTGTCAAAAAACATACAAAAAACACTTGGTTTCGCAACCCGGATGTTCGAAAACAAACTTGCGCTCGCGCGTTTGCGATTTTTTTGAAGAAAAACACAAGTGTTTCAACATGTGCGCTTTCGCGCGCGCGTGTCGAAATCGTTCGAACGCCGTGGCGCGCGTGCTGGGGTGGCACGATCCGTTTCAAATAATACCATGCGGGCCACTTTCGCGCGTCTGGCGCGCGCGCATTTCGAATTCCTTCCAAACCTTCATCACCGACTCGAAGACGCCGTCATCGTCGTTTGCGTGACCGGCATCGGCGCCGCCATCGCCACTATCATCATCATCGTGTCTACAGTTGTCGCCACCAACATTGCCACTATCATCGTCATCGTGTTCACTATTGACGACGTTGCCATGATACCGCATCCGCCCAAGCCGCCGACTCGCATTCAAATGCCCGCTGGGATGCGCCGAGCGGTCAGCACCATCGCGACCTCGGCGGTCGCGCCAAACTACCTGGCCGATGCGCACGCACGCATGCGAAGGCTGGCGCGGCCGCAGAGATGCACCAGCCAGCGCCAAGCACTCATCGCAATCGCCGCCGCATGAGGTTTGCAAACCAAGTTGCGGGTGGGTGGGTGGCATGTTTGCGCGAGCAGTGGAGTGGGCAATTCATTGCGAACACCAATTAATTACCCCACATAGGTTGCACAACGCAGAGTGCATCACAACATATATTGGACAGCGTCGATTGCACCAGACAGACTGCGCCATATAGACGGCACAACATAAACCGCACAACAAACACTGCACCACAGACATTGCACCACCTGTATTTCTCAATGTAGGTTGCACCGCCTATACTGCACCACACATTGCACCACATGTCTTGTTCCACACGCATTGCAGAACATAGACCCTCCTTTCTATAAACAGAGAACAGACTACACCACCCCCCCGAAGACTTATCGGTCCCCCTGGGGATGTGCAATTTACATACGATCCTGCCCCATCGGTCATCCTAAATATGAACCCAGTCCATCCCAGCCCAACCACTCGTCCACTCCCGCCATCCTCTGCCCCCCCCAAAAAAAAAACCTATGCGCGCGCACTCGCTGATCAGAAATCATCAGCTCTCAAGAGTCCCTTGCAAAACAATGGGGCGAAACGCACACGCGCGCGTTGTCGCGCACGCGCATTGTCGCGGCTTCGTATGAAATTCAAAATCGAGCGTCACACAAATACGTTTTCGCAACGCGGATTTGCATAAACAAAAAAAATGCGCGCTCTTGCGAATTCGTATCAAAAAAATGCTACCAAACGGGCTTCGGGCGCGCGTATGTCGAAATCGTTCGAACGCCTTCTGCGCGCGTGCCATCGCGAGAACCCGTTGCAAACAAGAGACGAAGTGCACGCGCACGAGCGTCCCGAAACCATACAATTGCTCCGCAACATCAGTTTTCAAAAAAGCTCGCGCTCGCGCTTTCGCGAACTCATAAGAAAGCCATTGGCTTTCCAACACTTTCCATGACATTCTGTCAGACGGGCCTCTCGGGTCGCATGCCGAAATCATTCGCACGCCTTTGCGCGCGTGTTGGGGGGGCACGACCCGTGTCAAACAATACAATGCGGCAGCTTTCGCGCGTCGGCCGCGCGCGCATGTCGAAATCTTTCCAAAAGATTTCATCACCGATGTGAGGACGCCGTCATCGTCTTCGGCGTGATTAGCATCGGCGCCCGCACTGACCGCGCCGCCGTCGTTGTCAACCTCGTCACCAGCATCGCTACTACCATCATCGTGCCTACCGTTGTCGACGCTGCCGTGATACTGGGCCCGCCCAAGTCGCCAAATCGCATGGGAGTGTCCGCTGGGATGCGTCCAGCGGTCAGTGCCACCGCGGCCGGGTCGGTCGCACCAAACAAGATGGCCGCTGCGCGCGCGTGCATGCGCGGGCGGGCGCGACCGCAGAGATGCACCAGCCAGCGCCAAATACTCATCGCAATCGCCGCCGCACGGGTTTTGCAAACCAAGTTGCGGGTGGGTGGGTGGGTGGGATGTTTGCAAGAGCATGAGATGTGTCAGCTCTCTTGTAAAAATCAATTGCAACATTTAGAATTCCCCACACAGATAGCACCACGTAGTGTCCAAAACCGGTTTAAAAAAAGATGACCCCCCCCCTCCCCCCGGGATCCCGACTGCCATTAGTTCGCATCCGAATACTTATTTGTTATCTGTCCCCCTGGAAAAAATTACATGGATGCCGATCGATGCCACCTGTATATACCTCGGTACCAGGAATAATGCCGATGTGACATTGTAGCTTGGTGTAGCCCCTTCTGTCTAGCCTGGAGGGCGTGCCGGCCCTCATTGTAACCTGGTGTAGCCCCACTTGCGTGGCCCAGAAGGGGGACGGCCTTCATCGTATCCTGGCTTAGCCCCGCAAGTTTGGCCCAAAGGGCGGTGCGACCTTCGCTGTAACCTGGTGTAGGCTTGGTGCGGCCTCGAACTGAGCGGCTTGCTGAGGGCCGGCCTGGAGGGCGATTCGGCCTTCGTCGTAACCTGGTCTAGCCCTTCTCTTGTCTTGTTGCAAGATATGTTCATCATACGTCGCCGGTCTGATGAGGCCATCTTGAACCAACTTGGACCAACTTGGGCCATATTGCGCCATTTTGGAGGCCATCTTGAAGCACTTATGGCCCTCTCGGCACCAGAGGGCGTGCGCAAGGGAGGGTCCCCACCACGACAGACTCGGGCGTGTCAGGTGTGGCTCGTTCGCAACCCAGACAGGGTGTGCGGTGCGCACGGAGTGGTCCCTGAGCGCAGTCTCTGTCCACGCTGGGGTCGCAGCGCGTGGCAGGCGTGGCCTGACGCCAAGAGGGGGTGCGCAGGAATCTGTCCCTGCACGCAGGGCGCCAGGGCAGTCGCGGGGACGTTTCCAGCGATCCAGTTTGCCCCGCCTCCCTTTTGTTTTCTATAGGCGCACTACACCATTGTTTAACTGTCTCCCCAAAATAATGGTTAAACGGTTTTGATACATTATACTGGTAAAATGGCATTAATCGGGGTCTACGTTGGTTCACCGATCGATAATTCAGAGTACGACTTCTTTCTTTCGCTCCGACCCTCCATCGGAGGTGTATTCTTGGCGGCGTCCGAAGGCACCGCTGCCGTAGCCAGGTGGATACCCGCGCGCGGGCGCACGCGAGGCGTGGTGGCGGATTCGGGTTCACCGCTCTCTGGTCGTGCGCCGCAATGGGAGGAGGAAGAGGAGGAGGAGGAGGAGGAGGAGGAGGAGGAGGACCAGTGTAAACCCAAGAGCCATCAACGATATTGGAGTACACCCACCCTCCAAGCTCCCTCCTCATAGGCCCCTACAGCGGTTCATTCCCATTGATGGAAGTGCTTCGTTGGAAGGCACCCGTGTGAAGACCTTGAAGCATGCCACAACAGTGTTTTCGGGATTCCAACGCCACGGATCAACATGACTGCTGCGTCTTGAAGATATTGAACCGCGCCATAGCGCCATTCCAAGGACTTCAACACAGGGAACCAACGTAACTGTTGCACCCGCTGAATCCTGAATCCTTACAAAACACCACGTCTGGTACATTGGTGACAGGAACCTGTGAAACTCTTGCAAATGTTTGAACACGAATGTGCGCGACGCTTTGGCGAGAGCCACATTTCGAAAAACACCCGTTCTTAACCCACGAAGCTCTTGCAAATGTTTGAAAAAGAATGCGCGAGGCGCTGAGGCGAGGACCACATTTTGAAAACGACTCGCGCTCAATCCGCGAAACTCTTGCACATGTTCACAACGAGTGTGCGCGGCGCTTTGGCGAGAGCCACATGTCGAAAACCACCCACCATCAATCTTTGAAACGATTGCACAGTTTTAAAACGAATGTGCGCGGCGCTTTGGCGAGAGCAACATTTTGAAAACCACCCGCCCTCAATCCGTGAAGTTCTTGCACAGTCTTAAGACGAATGTGCGCCGCGCTAAAACGAGAGCCACATCTTGAAAACCACCCGCCCTCCATATGTGAAATTGCTGCCGCGACTTAAGCTTCAGAGTCATAAATGTTGAGGAAGTCTGAGGCGAAACGCCTGGCCCGCCCTAGTTATAAGGAAAAGGAATGGAGAAGGAGGAGAAGGAGGAACAAGAGCAGGAGCAGGAGGGAGGAGGGAGGAGGGAGGGAGGGACGGAGGGAGGGAGGGAAGGAAGGAGGGAGGGAGGAAGGGAGGGATGAGGAGCAGGACGATGAGGAGGAGAAGGAGGAGGAGGAGGGGGAAGAGCACGAGGGATGATGATGATGATGATGATGATGATGACAATGATGGTAATGATGATGATGATGATGATGATGATGATGGTGATGGTGATGGTGATGGTGATGGTGATGGTGATGGTGATGGTGATGGTGATGGTGATGGTGATGGTGATGGTGATGATGATGATGATGATGATGATGATGATGATGATGATGATTCTGGTGATGCTGATCATGGTGGTGGTGGTGTGATGATGATTTGGATGAGGATGATGATGATGATAGTGATGATGATGATGATGATGATGATTTGGATGAGGATGATGATGATGATGGTGATGATGATGATGATGATGATGATGATGATGATGATGATGATGATGATGATGATGATGATGCTGATGCTGATGCTGATGCTGATGCTGATGCTGCTGATGCTGATGATGCTGAGGAGGACGAGGATGAGGATGAGGATGACGATGATGATGAGGATGATGATGAGGAGGATGAGGATGAGGATGAGGAGGAGGAGGAGGAGGAGGAGGAGGAGGAGGAGGAGGAGGGTGGGACTCGGGACTCGGGTGTCTCGGTCTCTCCGGCGGGAGGTGGGGGGCAGGGTCCCTCTTCGGCGAGCTCCGCGGGAGATGCGGGGAGGTATTTGGGTTCTTGCGCCCTCTGCCTGAAGGCCTGACAGGCGGATTGACCGCCACCTTCGCGCGGTGCCTGCCAGGAGGGGGGAGGACAGGGGCAGCGGGGAGAAAGGGAGTATGGGGGAGGGGAGGGATGGGAGAGGTTGTACCAGGAAGCGAGGGTTGAGAAGGGGCATGGAGAAATGGGGTGGAGGAGGGAAAGGATGGGGAAGAGATGGGGTAGCTAGAAGAGGAGGAGGAGGAGGAGCAGGAGCAGGAGCAGGAGCAGGGGGGGAGGGGGGAGGAGAAGGAGCAATAGCATGGAGGAGGAGGAGGAGGAGGAGGAGGAGGAGGATGAGGAAGAGGAGCAAGAAGGCAGAGGAGGAAAAGGCGGAGGACGGGGGAGAGGGGAGGGGATGAGGAGGAAGAGAGAGAGGATAATAACGCAGCAGAATGCGAACGGGCAGGAGGAGGAGGACGACGATGAGCCCGCACAACTCTGGGGTGCTTCCGGGGGTCGTGGGCACCCCTTCCTCCCTGCGGGGTGCCAGGCGCTGCTGCGCATATTCCTACGCGGGCGCGACTCGGTGCCAGGAGGTGCTTCCGGAAGAGGAATGGGTGACGAACGGGGACTGATTGGTGACACGGGCGGAAGGGAGGATTGAGGGCCATCGTGCACTTGCTGGGATGTGCTTCGAGTGGTGGACGAGGGGGAGTGGATGGTGGCGCGGGGGGTGAGGATGGAGAGACATCGTGGGCGCGAGGAGGGAGAAGGGACGGGGGGAGAAGTGGGGAGGGGGGAGCAGTTGGAGAATCGTGGGCGTGAGGTTTTTTGGAGGGTGGAGGGAGGGAGGGAGGGAGGGAGAGAGAGAGAGAGGAGGCAGCGAAAGAGAGAGAGAGAGAGGAGGGGGCGAGAGGGAGAGGACAGGCGAAAGAGGGAGAGGACAGGCGGGGAGAGGCGGACAGGGGGCGGGGGCCTCGGTCTCCCCGCCGCCAGCCCCCCCCGAGGCGCGGCAGCTGTGCGGCCCGGGCCAACGCTTGGTGCGCCCTGGGGCAATCGCAAGCGTGTGCTGCCGCTGTCGTTGCTGCCGCCGTTGCTGCTGCATTTCTTGCCGCAACGGACTGAGGCAACATGGGCTGCGCCAGACCGCACATGGGCGCCGGCCGACATGACGGCCGATGTCGTTCCAGCTGGCATGTTGCGTTCGGTGTTTGGGTGGCGTTCCTTCTTCGGACAGATCTGGGGGCCCGAGCCCCCAGGCTCCGACACTTGGCTTTGCGAGCAGCTCCGAAGTCGCGGCAGCTTTTGCCCGCACATACTGTTGGGTGGCATGAGTACAATCTCGTACACACAGTCATTACAATGCAGGACACATCGGCCGTTGCGCAAGAAACCACGTTTTTCCAAACAACGGGAGACCCTGGCCGTTGAGTCCATGCGCCGCGTACTTCGCAGTTGCAAGATGCGCAACGTGACCTCATCCAGCGATCCCACCGTATCATCACACACGCCATTTCGGCCTTTTGTTTAGTTATCTTGTCGACCGCCTGCCGCGTCCCCCCTCAATGTTGACGAGGCGCCCAATGGGTCCTTTGCCTCCAGAGGAAGGAGGGGGTGAGGCTGGCAGGCAAGGTGGCACAGGCGGATGTGGAGGGAGGGGGGTTAGGGAGGGAGGGAGGCAGGCTGAGGCAGACGGGAATGACGAGGGGCGGGGGTCCCTATGGGGCCACGATCCTCGTGAGGGGTGTGCCGAAATGGCCCGAGGCCGCCATGCGAACGCTGCTACTGGGGCCTTCGGTGGAGCTCCCTATGGGGCCACGAAGCGCTGTACTGGGTGGGCGAAACGCATGGAGGAGGGAGGAGTGACGGGAGGGGGGGGGAGGGAGAGGAGGAGCGGGAGGAACGCGGGGCACCGTCTCTTCAAAACGAGGACCCAACACCACAGGATGGTTGGGAAAAATCTGATCGAGGACAACGAAGTGGGCGCGAGAGGCTAAGAACCCCGACCGATGTCGGATTCCGCAGTTCACCTACTAGTTTTTTCCAAAATAGAGAACCCCTATAGACAAACTGACCGCCCGACAGCCCGCTTCAGCCCGCCCCCACCCCCCCCTTTTCCTTGCGCGCCGAAGCTTCGTGCCCCCAGGCGATCCACCCCCCACGCCCACGCAGGACAGGCCATTGTTATTCCCGCCGCGCGATTAAGTTCCTCGTTGAACCTTTTGTGGAGTATCTATATTCGCAGGGTCTCTGCCTCGTGCAAGGCCATGCCGAAGACGCCCCGCGAGAAAGCGCTGCTGCAGAGCGCGGTCTCCCAGGCGGTCGAGGCAGGGTTGCTGTCCACCAGGCGCCCCGCCGCGTTGTGATCCGCTGCCCCTGGCCTGAGATCCTCCTCCTCGTTTTCTTTCCTCCTTTGTTTCTTTCGCTAGCCCATCTCCTTGTGAGGTACACGCCGGGCCTGCGCCAGCAGAGAGAGCGGTGGTGCACACGTGTCAACAGCATTCCTCCAACAGTAGGAACGGCTAGTAAAGCATGTGGCGCGGCAGGACCACACAGTGAAGCTTACGGAGGGCAGAGAGTAACATAAATTACTATGCACAAGTAGCAGTGGGAGATACCTTAACCAATCCATCCTCCCATTCCCCCCCTCTTCCTCCCCCCCTCTTCTTCCCCGTTCCTCCTCGAGCTGAAGGCCCCGAAATGCCACATCATCCCTCTCTCGGGAGAGGTCAACGCGTTGATCGCCATCGTCCCGCTGTTCAAGGACTTCAATATCTGCGACCGCCTCACCTACCTCGGGCTTTTACTCGGACCTGGGGCGACGGAGAAGCGGATCTTCGAGAAAGCCTTCAATAAGTTCAAGTGGCGAGCCAAGATGTTCAGTGCTAGTGATGCCCCGTCCATGGGTTCAGTTGCCCTCTTCAACAGCCGTGCGATTCCTGTCCCCGGCTACCTCGCCCAGTCCGTGTTGCTGCCGCACGAGCACTTCAAGAACGAGAACTGGATCAATGCCTCGGTCCTGCGGTTCCCGAACGGTGCCTTCAGGATCAAAAACTGGCCCCACCTCAAAAATTGAGGTCGTCCACGCTCCGCGGTCGCTCCAATTCACGATGGTGGCCACCATCGCCCGCTCCGCGACATCGACGTTCAGCAAGTTCCCCGAGATCCGAGAGCGACTCCACGAAGACCTCGACGCATACGGCATCCAGCTGACGCTGATGGGCGCCGCCCGTGGCGCGCTCCATCGCTCGCCCCCCTGGTGGCAGATACCACCGTTTGTGGAGCTGCTGCACCATGTTGCCACGATCTCGGCCGAGCATGCCTACTACCCGTCGGACCTGCTGCGACCTGCGGTTGCCAGCGCGCTGGACGCCATCAGTGACGGCCGCCCCGACCTTGCCCAACGAAAAGCATATGCTGCTGCACTTTTGGCTCGTGGCCCTGACTCCATCGGCCCCTTCCTTGTCTCGAGGATCGTGGCCGAACTCCCGCACTATGCCGAGTTCTTCAACCACAACCCAGGCGTGTTCTCCATGGCGAAGGCCACCATGCGCGAGCTTCCGCCGTCGTGGGCCGCCGCGTGGATGAGGACCCTCTCTTTCTCGTGGATGACATCGAGGTGCATCGCCCACCCCAATGGCCAGAAGCGCTGCATCGTCGGCGGTCGTCGCTGTCAAGGCTCACGTCGACACTATCTTTCCTGCGCGCCTCTGGCGCGAGCCGTGGGCAGAGCGCGCAGGGCACCCCACATGGTCATCGAGATCGTGAAACTCGGCCTCACGGACATGACCAATGAGTCCCTCGAGCTCATCGTGGTCGCGTGCAACACGTACCACAACCTCAGAGGCGAGGTGTTCGTCTCAGAGGAGGCCCTCCTCTCAGTGGCCAAGGCGTCGCTGCGGGCTTCGAGGGCTATGAAGAAGCCACCAGCCGTCCTGCGGGGCCCCCTTTTCGGCGCCATGGTGCCGCTCGTGCAGGACGAGACCAGCTCCAAGTTCATGATCGCGGAGGTGCCCGTCCTCCTCCGCCAGCTGCGCCGCTTGTGAGCAGGTGAGCGCGGCGTGCTGCGGGCGGCGCGCTGGGGCGCGCGGCCGTGGGCAGCCAGGAGCCTTCCCCCTCGGCGCGCTCGACTCCCCGTTCCTCCCTCCTCCTCCTCCTCCTCTTCCTCCTCCTCCTCCTCCTCCTCCTCCTTCTCCTCCTCCTCCTCCTCCTCCTCCTCCCCATCCCTCACATCGCAGGCACCTCTGCTCAGGTGTTACAAAGGGTGCGACATAAACCACAAGGTGAGTGCAAGAGGGAGACGTGCTGGGCGGTTGGGAGCGCAGGAGGCGAAGGTAGAGTATGAGGGTCAGGGTGCGGATGAGGCAGAGATTGTCGGAGCGGCGGCAGCCATGCAGAGCCAGCGGGCTGTTGCCGCGGGCCAGGTGGCCGTCCAACACAATCTGGCTCGGCGGCCACTGGCGCGAGGGGGACGCCGCCCAATGGGAATGGGACGACGGCGCAGTGATAGGAGACGGCGTAATTTTTCGAATCGATTGCACTTGGCACTTACAGCTTGCAGCTTGCTGTGCCACTTCTCCACGGGAGTAGGAGAAGGACACATGCATATCATATGGCAGGAGGAAGAGGAGGAAGATAAGTGGACGCCCGTCCATCCCAGCTCGCACTGTCCTTACGCATTGGTACTCGTGCTCTGCATGTCTGTTGTTGGCGCAGGTTCGCGCTTTCGTTTCGCAGGACAATGCAAGACGGTATGGTGCGCCAGTTGCCACGGATTCCTATGTGTTGTTTCGTTATGGGCGTCGCGGTTTTGTATTAATGGCGAGGACGTGTGCCAGTGTCGCGGCTGCGCGCGCGTGCGACACTGGGATCGCAGCCACAGAGCGAATGGTTGTCCCGCTTGGCCGAACATGCGGGACCCGGTTTCCAAATAATGAGGAGGAGGAAGGAAGACGGACGAGGAGGAAGGAGAAAGACGACCAGGTGGAGCAGGAGGTCGCGAAGGACGAGGGGAGACGGACGGAAGGGCGAGGAGGAAGAGGAGGAGGAGGAAGAGGACGACGAGGTGGAGCAGGAGGTCGCGAAGGACGAGGGGAAGGTGAAGGGTGAGGAGGACGAGGAGGACGAGAGCTAGGAGGATGACGAGAAGGACGAAGGGAAAGAGGAGCACGAGGACGACAATGGGAAGATCTCATCTGCCACGCCTGTGAATTCGCAAACTCTTCGAACATCTGCAGTAGATCTCGTACGTCGGGTGTGCCTGCTTCCCGCATGAAGTCTAGCTTCACGATTGTTTCTCGGCGTTGGCCGCGAGTTTGACGGGCACGCATGGATGCGTGCCGGGGTGCATGGCAGTTCGTTGGGCATTGCCGACGCGTGGGGGAGCCTGCTAAATGCACCACAAGTTAGCGAAGCCCATGCCTCACAGCAGAACGAGCCCACCTGGAGATGCAGCGACAGGCGATGAGTTTTCAGGTGGCTCTTCGATTGTGTCCTTAACATTGGGGAGCTGTTCTTATTGACGACGACACCAATCCGAAATGACGGTGATACGCACCTGACGCAAACGGTATCGGCCGTGTCAGTCCCTAGGCCTTGCGAAGGCCATGTCGAGATTCCGATGTTCCTGTTCGCTTTGGTCAGTCCCGAGAATATTCCAAATGCTTGCTCCTCTTCTGGCTATGATTGCTCCCGGTCACTCCGATTCACCGCGATCAATTTCCCCCTACCCCTCATCCTTCCCTCCTCATCCGTAGCCGAAAACTGGGACGCCAGGATCTCAGGGGTGCGTGGGATACTTGCGCTCCAGCTCCCGCGCAATCGGCCCCGTCGTCTCCCGCCGCCTGCCTGCAGCAGGTCCCGCCGCGCGGGCGTGGAAGCGAGCAGCATCTGCAAGCCCAGGTAGCCCATCGACACGACTTCGCCCACCGCCAGGTCCCGCAGCCCGCGGGGCATCGCCACGAAGCCGCCCCTGGCAAATTCTGGGCATTCGTCACCTAGGCTCGCAGCTTGCGTCGCGGATAGCCTGTCTGTGTTGGTTGATTTTGGACACACTCGCCAATAGCATGTTCAACCTTCAACCTGGCTGTTGCACGCAACATGTTTGACCGAATCTGGCAATCGATTATCCATCGCTGAAGCGGAGGGACGGCCTGCATCGCACACTACGCCCCAATAGATTCCCATGCATGGTTGCGCGTTTATGCGCCGCTGCGACCATCGACGCCTACGAAACGCAGGTGGCGCTTGAGGCGCGTTCGTGTGCCTACGAGTTGTCGTGCCTGATGGTTCAAATGTGCCCGCCATGCATTGGTAACGTGTGTCAGTTGTTTGTGTCCCGAGTGGCCTCTTTTGCGGATAGACTACGAGGAGGCAATGTGACACATGTACAAGTTCCTTCACGAAATACGTTTCTTCGTCATTCCCCAAGCAGTGTTTGCAGCAGTCGGGGTTCTCACTTCGGTCAACCTTCTCGGGACCCTCGCCGTAAAATCGCCGCCCGTCGCCGCCTGTCGCCGCCCGTAGCCGTCGCCGCCCGTCGACGCCATCCCCGCCCGCGCCGCCCGTCACCGCCCGTCGCCGTCGCCGCCCGTCGCCGCCATCCCCGCCCGTCGCCGCCCGTGCTGCCCTTCGCCGCCCCTGCATCGCATACATTTTCCTTTCTAAAAGATGAATAGATTCTACCCCCCTCCCCCTCCAGACTTATCGGTTCCCCCTGGGATAGTACGATTTCACATATATATATATATATATATATATATATATATATATATATATATTCTGCACACTCGTCCATCCTAAATATGAAACCATACCATGCCAGCCAAACCGGGTTCCCCTCCCCTGCGGTTCCTTTGTAAAAAACACTATGCGGTGACATGTTTTGTTCTAACATAACACTTGTTCACGAATCCCTCACGCGCGCGTCGTCGCGCGCGCATGCCGAAATCCTTCAAAAACTGTCGGTGTCGGAAGGATTTCGCAATCGAGTTCCCCAAAAACATACCAAAACACAGGGTTTCGCAACACTGATTTGCTAAAAAAGCTCACGCGCGAGCTCTTGCGAAATCTTGAGAAAAAAACATAGGTTTTTCAAGATTTTCACAACATGCTACCAAACGGGCGTCGCGCGCGCGCACGTCGAAATCTGTCGAACGCCCTTGCGCGCGTGCCGTCGCGAGAATCCTTTGACAAAAATGGGACGAAGTGCAGACGCGCGCGTCGTCGCGCGCGTATGCCGAAAACCTTCAAAACCCATCGGTGTCGGACGGGTTCCAAAATCGTGCGTCCAAAAAACCTACAAAAACACAAGGTTTCGCAAAACGGATTTTCAACAAAAGCGTGCGCGCGCGCTCTTGCGGCGTCGTCGTCGTCGTCGTCGCCATCCTCCCTCCTCCCGCGTCGTCGTCGTCGTCGTCGCCTACGTCGTCCTCTGTCTTTCCTCGTGTTCGTCGTCGTCGTCCTCTTTGGCGTCGTGGTCGTCGTTGTCGCCGTGGTCGTCCTTCCTCCTCCTCCCTCGTCGTCGTCGTCGTCCGTCGTCGGCGTCTCGTCGTCGTCCCTCCTATTTCGTCGCCGTCGTCGTCGTCGTCGTCGTCGTTGTCGTCGTCGTCGTTTTCTCTCCTCCCCCGTCGTTGTCGTCGTCGCCGTCGCCGTCCTTCCTCCTTCGTCGTTCGCGCCGTCGCCGTCCTCCCTCCTCCCTCGTCGTTGTCGTCGTTGTCGCCGTCGTCGTCCTCCCTCCTCCTTCGTCGTCGTCTTCGTTGGCGACGCCGTCGTCGTCTTCGTCGTCGTCGTCGGCGTCGGCGTCGTCGTCGTCCTCGTCGTCGACGTCGGCGTCGTCGTCGCCGCCGTCGTCGTCGTCGTCGTCGTCGGCGTCGTTGACGTCGTCGTCGTGGTCGTCGGTGTAGTCGTTGTCGTCGTCGTCGGCGTCGTCATCGTCGTCGGCGTTGTCATCGTCGTCGTCGGCGTCGCCGCCGTCGTCGTCGTCGTCGGCGTCGGCGTCGTTGACGTCGTCGTCGTCGTCCGTCGTCGTCATCGTCGTCGGTGTCGTCGTCGTCGTCGTTGTCGGCGTCGTCGAAGTCGTTGGAGACGTCGTCGGTGTCGTCGTACTCGTTGTCCGCGTCGTCGTCGTCGTCGTTGTCGCTGTCGTCGTCGGCGTCGCTGTCGTTGCCAAGTGCCATTTGGTACCCACCGTCACGGTCTTAAGAGATTTTGCAAACCAAGTTGCGGGTGGGTGGGTGGGATGTTTGCGCGAGCAGTGGAGTGGACAACTCACTGCGAGCAGAAATTTAATTCTCCTTTCTAAAAGGAGACTACCCCCCCCCGGACTAATCGCTCCCCCCTGGGATAATATAATTTCATATATATATATATATAATGCACACTCGTCCATCCTAAGTATGAAATCATACCATCCAAGCCAGGCCGGGTTCCCCCCCCCTGAGGTTCCCTTGCAAAAAACAGTATGGGGTGACATTTTTGGTTCTAACAACACGTTTTCGCGAATCCCTTGCAACAAATGGGACGAAGTGCACACGCGCGCGTCGTCGCGCGCGCATGCCGAAATCCTTCAAAAACCTTCGGTGCCGGAAGGATTTCGCAATCGAGTTTCCAAGAAAACATGCGTAAACAAATGGTTTCGCAACATTGGTTTGCTAAAACAACTTCCGCGCGAGCTCTTGCGAAATCTTAAGAAAACCATCGGTTTTCAAGATTTTCACAAATGCTACCAAACGGGCTTCGCGCGCGCGCATGTCGAAATCTGTCGAACGCCCTTGCGCGTGTGCCGTCGCGAGAATCCTTTGAAAAAATGGGACGAAGTGCAGACGCGCGCGTCGTCGCGGGCGTACGCCGAAAACCTTCAAAGCCCATCGGTTTCGGACGGATTCCAAAATCGTGCGTCCAAAAAACCTACAAAAACCCAAGGTTTCGCAACACGGATTTTTAACAAAAGCGTGCGCGCGCGCTCTTGCGTCGTCGTCGTCGTCGTCACCGTCCTCCCTCCTCCCGCGTCGTCGTCGTCGTCGCCTACGTCGTCCTCTGTCTTTCCTCGTGTTCGTCGTCGTCATCCTCTTTGGCGTCGTGGTCGTTTCCGTCGTCGTTGTCGCCGTGGTCGTCCTTCCTCCTCCTCCCTCGTCGTCGTCGTCGTCCGTCGTCGGCGTCTCGTCGTCGTCCCTCCTATTTCGTCGCCGTCGTCGTCGTTGTCGTCGTCGTCTTCCCTCCTCCCTCGTCGTTGTCGTCGTCGGCGTCGCCGTCCTTCCTCCTTCGTCGTCGTTCGCGTCGTCGCCGTCCTCCCTCCTCCCTCGTCGTTGTCGTCGTTGTCGTTGTCGCCGTCGTCGTCCTTCCTCCTCCCTCGTCGTCGCCTTCTTTGGCGTCGTCGTCGTCGGCGTCGGCGTCGTTGTCGTCGTCGAAGTCGTCGGAGACGTCGTCGGTGTCGTCCTAGTCGTTGTCGTCGGTGTCGTCGTAGTCGGTCTTAAGAGATTTTGCAAACCAAGTTGCGGGCGGGTGGGTGGG